GTGTTGGTGTTCCCTTTGTGTCCTCTAGGGAATTTTTTTTTTTTTTTTTTTTTTTTTTTATTTTAACCCTGCCCCTTTCTTTCGCTTCATTTCCTCATCTGTAGCCCCAGGGTTAAAGGCTCTTACCTGAAAGAAGAGAATTCTCGTGTTGCCCCACCTCTCCCACTGTCCTGAAGCTTTTCAGGGAATTTTTTTCCCTAGGCTCTCTGGGAGAACCGAAGACTCCTATACAAGTTAGAGAGCTATAGTGCACTGGAAAGCACCCTGGTTTGAATGGGCGAGAGACCTGGGTTCAAGGCCAGCTCTGGAACTAACTAGCAGATTAGCCACTGTAGGACTCAGTTTCCTCACTTATAAAGCTATAAAAGTGTGGGGATTAAATGAGACTTTACATGTGGACCATTCCCTGTCACATATTGTCTGACTCACAAACCTGCCTCCTCCATGACCACCTCCTCCTCTTTAGACATCTAGGAACAGAGAGGTGCCCTCTCGTGATTTTGCACTTCTTGACTTTTGTCACCTGTTTACTTCTTGATATCCCAGCAGTCAGTGAGCACTCTTTATATGCCCCAGGGCTATAGATAGATCTTGTGACTAGAACGGATCTTGCTTTTAGGCTGACTTCATCTGGGAAAAACCCTTGGGGGTGGGATACATTGACCTCTCCAGGAGTAGGTTACCAAACCTGGGCATCAGGGTGGGTTGGAAAACATATGATTGTGGGGCCTCTCCTCAGAGGTTCTAATTCGATGAATCTCAAAGAGTGGGCATTTGCCCACTTATGCCGACAACAGACAAAACCTCTCCACAGTGGTTCTGATAAGCAGTGCTCTTGATAACACCTTATACAGCAACATCACACATTCATTCAACAGACATATCATCTCCTACTCCAGGTCAGGAATGCCATGTCTGTAGAGATGTATGAAGAACTCACTGAAGCTGGGACATCAAGAGGGGCACTGGGTACAAAATTTAACAAGTCTAATAACAGGCAGGGATGCCTCACACTGCTCTCAGATGTCCCAGATCTGATGGCCCAGATGTCCCCACCTCTACCTTTAAAAGTCAGTTCTAAAGATCAATGTCCAAGGGGTGGTTCTGATTTGCTCCACTCACCTCAACTCAGAAACTTCCATCTACTTCAGTCCATGAACTACTCTACAAAACCACAGAGCAAAGCTTGTCCACTAGAAGTCTATGCCTCCTAAACTCCAGAGAGGACCACTGACATTCCAGAACGTCCCCACCCACGGGAACCAAAGGGCATTTCTGCAGGGCCTTCATAAACTGATACACAGGTGGTAGAGGTGGTTTCCAGACCAATAGAGGTGGAAGGGAAGACCTTTAACAGTAGGGGACAGTTGGGGGGATAGTG